ACCGTGAATTTTGTGTATCGTTGCACCCCTACTTTTTTACCGTTATCTGCATGAGGTGGACAAAGATTCTGAAAGTGCTTATCACAGATGAATGGACATTTGTAAATAGTTAGATACTTAGAGCCAAAACATACAATCATTAATCTATTTTTATTGTCAGTCTCATTAAAATGCAGTAATTTAGCTTGGTGTAAATGATGGAATAATAAGTTTAGAAGTTTCAATAAGGCAGCAAAATTAAATTTCTTTTTGACAGAAGAAGAATAAACAATCATTTGTTTGTATCTGTAAGCTTTGCTGGTGTTCTGACTTTAGTCGTATCTTGGCAGGCATGCTGTGAGTAGTAACTGGAACCTTTTTAGACACAATAATTTGTACATGTATATAAAAATGAGATTCAGAAGTAATAGTGTTAACTGGGCTAACAGAAATAACAGAATGTAGGCATTTTATTCTGCAAATGTTAATGAAGACTCATTAGGTGTGATTGGGCCTTTTGAAAAGAACAAGTGGTTAGCCACATTGTCACCATGGGTGTTACTTTTCGCACTTGTCTGCTGCTCTGAATAGACGAAGCAGTGACCCAAACAGTTTAAGTTGTTTTAGTGGACGTGGCCGGTCCATCTCACTGATAACGTAGTAGTAGTGAGTTCTACTTTGCTATTCTGCCCTCAGCTCCAGTGACGCCAACAACTGGTTTGGGTGTGGATAATGTGCGGAGGGAGAGGACAGATAAGGAAGATGGAGAAAGGAAAATGTGGGGTGGAGAGTGGAGCAAGGGTGTTGTCAGGGGAATAATAGAATGCCTCAGAGGCCCTCGTAGACACTGGGCAGCAGGGCAGGGGGAGGAAAATGGTGTGAAAGAGAGGAATAAGAGGTTAAGCCAGTGAGAGGAGCAGAGAGAGAAACAGCAGGGGAGTCTGGTGAAAGAAGTGGCAAATACCTTCAGGGCGAATTGCTGATTGCAAGCCAGGCCTACAGAGGGAGTGAAGTGATGACACACACCTTTTGACTAAACCTTGACTCACCCTCCGATCTTTGTCCCAGTATCTGAAATGAATAGCCGGTTTTTCACAGCAGTATCTTGCCGATAAATCTGACAGCTCACCTTGATTTATGCAAATTATAGCCAAATTATATCTTATCAATTATTCAGCTTTTTTATCGTTCAGTCCCATTGATCATTAATGTTAGGCAGTCAAAGTACATGTTTGAATGAATTTTCATTGGTGTGTTTTTTGCCTGTTGTCTGTAGTGTCAGTGCAGCGAGTTAGTTTGGGTGCTGCGTTGCGTGTGTGCATGTGCTTATCGAGGCAAAAGGTTCCCACAGGACGCTTCCAGCTGCAGCGGTGTCCCTTGCAGTCCTTTATCGTGCTAACTGTTTGTTAGCAACAGGCCACAGAGGGATTGGCCAATGGATGGGTGAGAGAAGAAAGAGCAAATAGACCCCAGTAATTTCCCCTCCCTTTGTCATCTGACTGACTGCGTGGCACTTCAAAGTTAGGGAAGAGTTGTTCATCCAGTGGGCTGCAGCGAGCCCTCCACTTGCTGTTCTGTACTCGACTCTGAACTCTTTCCCCAGCCTTGGCCCCGGCTTTTTTCAAAGCGTGATCAAAGTGCAGTTTGTCTCTGATGGATGTGCTCACTTTGGCCCAGAGGCTGCCTGACAGGGGACCTGGAAGTGGAAGGGAGCATGACACAGGATCTCACTGCATCCTATGCACATGCGCTTACAGACAAAAACGCCCACGTGTGTCTTTGTATCCAGAGTTAGCTCGCGGCTACGAAAGAGCTCTTCTGCATATGTGACCAAACCATGACGAGTGAGCTAGCCTGAGCACACGTTAAGAACTTTAAGGAGTCTCTATTGTTAAACCTCGGTCTACCTTATCTATACTTGATATACAGTACACAATACTGCCGTTTAGGACGGTATTCCAACCGGATTTTCACGACTCGAAGCAAAGTGGCAAAATAATGTCCTTAAATGCAGTCTTGCTTACATTACTGTGAGAGCTTGTCTATCACTGTTACTCCTGGTCTTGTAGCATGTGCTGCAGAACCAGGAGATTTATTAAACTTGTCAAAAATGCTGTAGAAATACAAATGCAATTCTGTAGTATTTAAAACGGTTGGTAATGATCACCCAATTATTGGTATGCACTGGCCTTGACAAGAAATCGTGGCTCGTTTTTAACCACAACAAGGCAAAAGTTGCGGTCGGTAAATCTTACACGTCTGGCTACTTCAGAACTTAAAATAGACTTTGATTTGCTCCTGGCAGTCACACACTCGTAAAGCCTACAGTTTAAGCCGTGCACCTAAAATCCATTACAGTCTGACTGTGGTCACTGTGACCGTGTCAATCTTTAGGCTTTTAAAATAGCCTCAGTGCGCTTGTAAACATAATGAGCTGTTCTTCTCAATCATGAGACGTGATTCTTATCCGCTCTTATGAAACTCGCCCTCCTGGTTTGCATTTTTTTCTTTCGTTTTTCCTTTATGCTCTTTACGTTCCTAACCTCGAGCAGAAACGTTGATCTTATCCTGTTTTTCAACTTCTTTCACAACCTTGTTTTTGGCTCTCTTCTTTTTGTTTTTTCATTGAGCTAACATGTTGTGTACCGGCTTCTGTCATTTCCACAGCAAAGAGGTGTGTACACTGACCTTTAAGGACCTTAAGTAATTGATGCATCATTTCTTTTCCCTGGTTAAAGCTGAGAGAACCGATCAGCATTTATAGGACTTTCACAAGTACTACAGGTGCAGAAGTACTTGTGAAAGAGAGGCAAGAGTGACACCAACAGCAGAAGTTGTTGGTGTGAAAGCAATGGTTATTAGGGGTGGGAGTGGTTAGCTGCAAGCCGTCTGTATGAGCTTTGAAGAGTTTGCTCTGTATCCTGTGGGAGGGTGCTTTTAAATGAAACGGACACTAGGTTGATGGAACACTGTTCATTTGCATTTCCTTCTCTTCCCTCTGGCTCAACTTCAGAGTCCTTGGGTGTGATCAAGGAGAGCTGTGCATGCTGGGAAGCTGTGTGGTGTCCAGTGTCTTGGTTGATCAGCAGAGGAGAAGAAGGGGCACGTCTGTGTTGTAGCGCTCAGTCTCTGCTGCCTGCTGTCCTTTCTTGGTGCTTTCAGATCTTTGAGATTTTGCTCTGCCGGTTATTGCCGCTTCATAAAACCTAAATGACTACAGCACAATGCCAGGCAGGAGAGGGGTCGTGACTGAACTTGAACCTCAGCTACAGCCCAACAAGCACCAGCAAACCAAGACGCCTTAATGAGACAGGATGCGAGCTCTAGCTGTTACACCTCCCACCTAAATCTGCCAGCTTACCTTACACTCATCCCAGCAGCTTCTCCATTTTGATCACATACCACTTCCTTTATAGTGGCCAACAGTCTAAACACACAGAAAACCACCTGTTTATTTCCCAGTCACAATACTTTTGCCTTTTTTTAGATAGTTTTCATTTGCGAGATGCATTTCTCTGCTTCCATTATTGCGCAAATCGGCATGTTTGCACAGTTATCGCTTACTAAGTGCTTGTAGTTTCTTAACATGTTAATTGACTGCGTCCTCTGTGTCCAGGAGCTGGAGAAAGCCCTGTCAGAACAGGACTTGGATTTCCTTGGGGATCTCGTTGCCTGTCTGTTGCAGGGATGCTACCAGCGCACTGACATCACGTAAGTAAAGAATAGAAAAAGAAACCTGGCATATAGCAAAAGCTGCCAGGTCACATCAGGTCTGCTTGTGTAACACCACCTGTAACACATAAGCCGTTTTCAGACGCGGGATCCGTAACACTGCCGGCATCGGGACGTAGGTCACACGTGTCTGAAGGGGACGACAGAAAAAGTTTCGATTCATGATAGAAACCCAGGGTTTATTTGGACATAATAAAAATGCAACAAGTTGACTTGTTGCAGATAGAGGTGTGCACATTTCAGAGCTGAGATCGCTGTCCAGTACAGTAAGGAGGTCCCCTTAAATCTTTTCACATTTTAGAAATAAAGCAAAACTTATTACAGTTTTCTAAACAATAGGGGTGGGGAAAAAAT